TGAACATGATTGAACTGAACCTGAACCTGAACTTGACCAAAGTTCGGTTTCAGTTCGGTTCATAGGAACACTAATCAAAAGAGTATTACATAGCAATGGTAGTTTATATGATTTGGTAAAGACTTTGAATTCACGATTAGAAAAATAGGCTGAGTGAAACTGTTTTTTTGAGAATCAAACTCTGTCATCATGTGTAGAAATTGCATTTGTAGTAGTAAAATATTGCCTGCTGTTGACTATATACTCTTAGAATACTTAACCCCACAAATTCTTTCTATTGAGCGTACTGAAATGGCACAGTGTTTATACTTTGATACAGCATTAGTTGACTTAACAGTAATTGGATTGGATGACAAGAATGAGGATATAGATGATCGATTTACAGAAGATATTTATGATGTGAAGCTAGTGATTGGCACCGTAATCATGTGATGCTAATTGTCACGTAGTAAAATATATAATAATCAACAATCTAATTGTTGATTTTTTATATTGTATCATGTGACAATTAGCATCCATGATTACGGCGCCAATCACTATGTGAAGCAAATTTTACTTAAGTCAATGATATCAAAAGTGGATCAAATTAATATTAAAGAGATCTGGCAAATCACTGATAAACGACCTGGAAACAGCTAGAGAAAACACTTTGTTATTGTCCTTGATTCTATTTCTTATATGTGTACATGTATGTCAAATATATTTTGTAGTATTCTATGTCGACATTACTTTCAAGTAATGTTGGTGTCACGAATTTCTGGATATCATATTGGAATAGTGGTGTCGCATTGGTATTGTGATAGCAAGAAAAAAGAAATTGATCAGGAAAATATAATTTTCACAAATTCAGATGCTAGTAAAGCTCAACAAGGTCAAAAAGCACCTTTGATTCCTTAACCTTTTACAGTTCCCTGTTTAATAGCAATAAGCAACCAAAGTGCAGCAGCCATACATTTGAAATTTGGGGTCTTGCATGGCAAGCTGTGCAATTGGCTATAGAATGTGATGATAATGATATGAAACTATGGTTGAAACGCTTTATTAATCAAAAAGCATTTTTTAATACAAAATGGGGAGTCTAAAGACAGTAATGACAGCGAAAAAAGTGAAAAGGAAAATAATTCTACAATCAAAAATCCAGCGAATACCAAGCATAGGGGCAGGCCTGCAACTAAAAGATTCAAGGCTGCTACAGAAAAGCCTCGTCATCAGCTATATACATGTTGAAGCTGTGGTAAGACTGGCACAATAGTGCAAGATGTCAAAAGAAAGATGGTTAATTTGATGTTGGTGGGTTATTGGGAGGTTTGTCGATTGTTATTTGATATGTGATATTGTTTTTTGTGTGGTTGTTGTTTGATGTGTGATTGTTATTTGATGAGCGATTGTTATTGATGAGTGATTGTTTTTGATGAGCGATTGTTAGTGATGAGCGATTATTATTGATGAGCAATTATTATTGATGAGCAATTGTTATTGATGTGTGATTGTTGTATTATATGTGATTGCTGTATGATTGCTATGCTATATTATGATTAACTACATCTAAGCAATTCTAGGTTATAGTACGTACGATTGATAAGATATTTAATTGGGTAAGTATGTGCTAGAGAGAAATCAGTTATTGTATGTATATAACATATATACTATTGTAGTTTTGTGTGTTTATTCTAATTTACATTATTTTGCTATTTACTTGGGCAATAACATGCAGGGGTGTTATTTTGAATTTTGGCCCAAATTAAGCTTAATTCAAGCCAAATTTTGAAATTACACCCCTGTGCATTAATTCAGGAAAATATAGTAAGACTGACTGATTGTATTGCAGTTTTGAATTGCAAGTATATACTGATATATAGTGCTGTCCCGAATTCTAGGATTTTAATTTGTACTTCGAAATTTTATTAAAATTAATAAAAATTTAAATTTTATATATAAAGTTATGTGATTTGAATTAATAATAAATATGTAGTGATAAAATGTTACATGCTGTTATAAATAAATTTGTCTTTAAGTTTTATTAAAAATTATATTAATTATTAGAATAAAGATTAGTGTTAATAATATTGCACTTATTTGGCCTAATTTAAATTTTAATTAAGTGCATAGTAAATTAAATATTATTTTATAATTAGAGTTAATTAATTAGATTAACTTTTAAGTTAATAAGTTATACATTGCTTTATAATTATAAAATTAGAGATCTTAACATTAGGGTTATTAAATGATCACATGACTATTAACCATCATGCCATAATAAATAATGTAAAACAGTAGCTTGCAACTAAAGTATGGTGCCGTAAATAGCTAATTACGACAATTATATTTACTACATATATTTTTATACAAACTTTTTAAAACTTTAATTGTAGTAAATATTACTATGTGTAGTAA